TAGTTGGAGAAGTATACGTATACATTGAAGCGTGAGAAACGTACATACAAGATTCTCACACTTTAGTGTAACAGCTCTTGAACTAGTGCCGCCAGTTCAACGATAGAAAACAAATCCATTAATTGAATACTAACACTTGCCTGAATGAAACAGCTCTATTAATATTTTGATTCTGAATTTTAAACAGTCCACTTACTGCTCAATTATGCAACAACATGCCGTCGACTCGGGAAAAACGATAGATGTTGTAAATTTGGATCCTGCAGCAGAACATTTTGATTACGAGCCTCTGGCGGATGTAAGAGACTTAATTCAGTTGGATGATGCCATGGAAGACGACGAATTTAACTTTGGACCCAATGGTGGACTTGTATTCTGCATGGAGTAAGTTACTTTCTATTGAACGCACTATTTTTTTTTATATATCCTTATATCTTATTGCAATATGGGTTCTTGAAATGAGTTATACCACTGTCACTTCATATTCTTTTGCTCTCGAGCTTTAATCTTCCCATCAATCTCTTATAAAACTGGCATACATGGGATAAGGGAATTGAATCTGAGACCCATCGATTACGAGTTCATTGTTCTCACATGGAGTCACGTGTCATCCTATCATTATTTTTACAATTAATGCTTTATGTGATAAAATCACTTTTTTTTTACAGATACTTGGTTGAAAATGCAACTTGGCTGGAAGAGAAATTAGGTGACACAGATGATGATTATATAATATTTGATTGTCCTGGACAAATCGAGTTGTATACTCATATGACTGTGATACGACAACTGATAGCTGTCCTGCAGAAACTTAATTTCCGTACATGTGGAATCTTTCTGATAGACGTCCAATTCATGATAGACGCATCAAAGTTTCTTTCAGGCACCCTGGCTGCCCTTAGCGTAATGATAAACTTAGAAATTCCTCATATCAGTATTCTTAGCAAAATGGACCTGTTATCGAAGAGCGCGCGAAAAAAATTAGACAGCTATATCGATCCCGATCCAACTAGTTTATTGGCAGATACAGAAGGAGATCCATGGAACGAGAAGTTTCGCCGTCTCACAGAGAGTCTTGGTAGAATTATAGCGGATTATAGCTTGGTGCATTTTTTGCCATTAAACATCAAGGATGAGGAAAGTATTGCAGACATAAAATTAACGATCGATAATACGATACAATATGGTGAAGACGCAGATGTAAAAACGAGAGACTTTGAAGAACCGTGCAAAGACGACTAGAGGATGGATCTTGATCATGATCGTGAAAAAGGAAAGTTATTTTACATTCTGATTGTTTACACATATGTATGGTATATTTCTACAATAATTACTAAAAGAGGAAATAAAAAAAGATAATACTGCAAGCACAGGAAACGCTCTGTTAATTCATTTTATATTGCTTTATAAAATTTTCTTTGTACAATGTGAAATATTTTATATATTACTGAATATTTTATCTATCTACATACGTATTCGATGTGCTAAATACGAACATGAGACATCCGAAGGCGATGATCGAGCCGTGTGCAATGATTGCACTTCCTTCCCATCCTTCCTCCAGATGCTCATTAATTCTCATATCACGTTTTATATTACATTTGCATAAGATTTTGTCATCCGTGTGTGCATATTCTTCCAAGCAAGCTGCTTCTTCCTTATGCAGAATAGTTTTTATCATATCAGAAGTCTCTTCTTCCTTAGTGATGTATATCGCTTTGTCAGTCTTTTCCTCTTTCATTTGTTCCTCTAAAACACGAGTGCAATCACAAGAATACAGCACGTGGTCCACCACCGTTCCGTATTCGCTGTAATTGAGTAATTCGTAACGCTTGGTCACCTATAACAAAGATAGACGACGATGAGGAAAGAAGAATGATCCTTTACGCCACGTCGTCTTCCTTAATCTCTTTTGAATTCTCTGTTAAAGGAAAAGTGTGTGCGTATGGTATTTACTTACCTCGTCGAAAAATATTACTGCGTGTTTGGAGGATGTGAAACCGCAGCTACCGTATTTGGACAAAACTAGGTCGCAATTCGGGCCGTTGCCGATAACAAAGGTTCTACGAGTCATGAATGCTGGTGGATTAGGCTTAGGGCTTAAAGAAAGTAATGCGGCTCTTGCTCTTCTATGACAATTTATTGTTTCATAACTCTCCCCGTCCGGATTTAATATTTGTTCTAGTCTCTGTTGCGCTAATGCCTCCAATACTGGCCTCTCTAACAATTGGACACCTTCTTTAATGTTATTATAATCATGGTTGCTCGCATAAAATTCGCGATTATTACATTCCTTAGAACTATCCGTCGCAGTCTCGCTCTCCACTTTACTCGTGTGTTCACTCACTTCTGACTCTTTCTGCCGATCACTTCCCTCATCCATAGTATTATCACACTTCACTCTTTTTGTTCTTACTTCATCGGTTTCTTCAGTTTTCTTATTTTCCACACAATTATCTTTGCTATCCGCTTTCTCAACGTCTGTCGGTTGCACTTCTTCATCTGTAGTATCTCTTATAGGCCATATAAGACCATCTTGATAAGAATGTACCGGATCTATGTGCGGCGGGTTCTCATAATGGAACTTGACGCTGCAAGGAACTTTTATTCTCGGACGACCCTCCAATCTCACCTTCGTCCGAAATAGTGGATTGGCAGCGCGCGCTTTACGTAAGAAGTCTAGTTTGACCGCGTGCTGATCTATTCGTTGATTCGCGTACTTGTCCCAGAGCTTTACGCGTTCTGTCACTCTGCAAGAGGTCAACAGATTCTGATCTATGAAGTGATTCGGATGATTGGGACACATCCATCGGCCGATTGGAAAAGCAGTCAGCGGTGGGTCCAAGCAGTCCTGATGAAAATATAATGGACAATAGTCACACGCGATTAACGGCGCCTTTCTGCAACTACGTCCACATTCGTAGCATAAACGAGCAGGCAATGGAACCATTAAGTTGCTATCCAAGCAGTGACTTTTCCCAACTGGAAAAGATAAAAATATTACGTTTAATACAAAAGTCTTAATCGATTCGAAGCAGTTACAGCAGTGTGACTGATATTTACAAAATTTAATTTTATTCCTACAAGAAAAAGGACAAAGAAAAAAGAAAAGAAAGAGTAACACACAATCTCATCTTGCCTACCATTGTTATACGATGAGCTTGGTGGTTTACCTCTTCTGCCAGATACGTAATCCAATTTATTGCTTCCCGGAAACATTATAGGCAACTGTAACTCCTTGGGTAATTCGAACTCCCTTGGATTTACCAGAGAAGCCGCCAATGTTAATACTTCCAGAGCGGATCTCTGTTTCTTTTCGTTTCCCTTCTCGTCCAAGAGTACTTCCCTTTTGGAGGCGCAGCGGCAGGCATAGCACAACCATTCTCCATTAGGAATGTCTGTCGGATCCACCGCAGGATAGCTATAAAGTAAAAACTTTAGAACTATGCTTCTTTTGCGGACGGCGAAACATTCAATATCTCGTAGCAAGGATTTCCAAAGCAGGTAGCGATTGTTCCAATCACACTTACTGGCACTGTAAGTGATAGGAGGCCGGACATTTGTCGCAGCATATAAGCTCTCCACCATCTTTACAAGCGTCGCAAAAGTCGCGATTGTGGCCGCGACCTCGCCTCTTAAAGTACGGATGCTTCTTCTCCTCCTTCTCCTTCTTCGCTTTCGCCGTCTTGGAGTCGTCGGATATCGGTGGCGCTATGAGAGCCTGTATTTGCTGATAAAAAAAAAAAGATAATTCGAGTAAGAGGCGATGTGGTCTTTCGCCTAAGGACGAATTAATCAGACCGTAGAGTAAAAACCCAGGACGATTTTTCACACACGGAAATTCGGGGTGTTAATGATAGATCCGCTTGTTCCGCTTACCGGCATCAATCCGCCTATCATCGGAAAACCATACTCGACGGTACTCATTTGGAAAACGCAGCGACGAACGTTGAAAATAATCAAAATTATCCCTTCGTGTTCTCTGCGGGTCTCTGCCTCCAGTCGATCAGTGTCCGCTCCGTCCACTCTCCACCACCATGCACCATTCCTCACCGTCTCTCGCGCACTAATGTGGCGCTCACCGAGCTGTTTTGCTGGACGCAGTGGACGCCACTGGACGCAGCCATTGACGCGTCCCGAAACTCATCGAAATTCGAGAGATATAAACATATTCGCAAACTGTCCAATTCGTCTGCAAGAATAGTCGGTGTGTATTTTACAATTTTCTCATTCATGTTCTCACAACGTTCTCATTCATATCGAAGGAGAACCTAACCTAAATTTTTGTGAAAGAAACAGCACCTGTTCCGAACTTAAAAAAAAAAAAGGAGAAACGGCAACAATCGTGGAAGCCGAGACTTGAAGACTTCGACAAGAGTGACAAGGTAACGAGCGTTACGATTCGAAGCGACGGTGTCCAAGACCATGTATTCGGCGAATGCACGCGCCGGTATTGCTCGCGCGTTTTTCGCGCACCGTGGGCTGCACGACAACGTGGAGCTGGTCGAGAGGTGCACGGAGATCGTGAATCGAAATCCGCGGAACTTGGAGCGGCTGAGGATAGCGAGGAAACCCAGCGGTTATCATCTCAATAATCCCGGGCATTCGTACTGGCACAAGTAAGATTGGTTTTTTTTTTTTTTTTCAAGTTTCAATTACCACGAACAAACAAGACCTATATTCTCGTTTTCATTACAATCAGTTTAATCAGACTGTCACTGTGTCAATTTACAGATTGTTCCTTGTTAAGAAACCGCGCTACATTACCGCGGAAGTGCGCCACTTTGAGAATGGACCGGTTGTTACAGCTTCCAGTGCGGAATGGGCATTGAAGAAACAGTTATATCGGTACAAAGATTCACAGTCAGATTATCTATTATTATATATTTTCTCCTCTAATTTTTTTCATCCTGTTGTAACGCAAATGTTTCAGGACCACTGATGGTTCAGCCTATATTAATGTGGGACGAGTGTTGGCTCAACGTTGCCTGGAGGCTGGGATCTGTGAAATAGAGATTGATGCTGCGTTAACTGGAAATAAATGTGAATTGTTGATCGAAGAATTGGAGAAGAGTAATATCATTCTGACTGAGCCGCCAGTGTACAAGTATCCAAATTCTTGGGACAGATACCGACCGGAAAAGCCATGGGAGATCCACGAATAGTCTGCTTTGTCTCCTCTATATAGTAATATAAACAGATTTTTAAGTGCAGAGTGAGAAACGAAGTGTGTATGTCATACAAACAATGTGTGCTTCTCGGTGGAAACCAAATAAGGTGAAACTTGGTGAGTGATATAAGATATTTTATTATCTTAGCATCTATTCACTGTGAAATGCCGAGTTTTGTACATTACAGTATCTAGGAGTAAAAATAAATAATTGTATCGCTGTTAAATAAACGTCTATAGTCTACTAGAGATGTAACGCTGTGACTTAAAAGCATGTCATTACCTAAGGCAAGTACATTTTGTCAGACATGGTCTGCGATGCGAATGGAATGTAACGTTACGTGATTCTTATCATAATGACTGTAATAGAAAATTTAAGTTAAGCTAGGTATACGTACATATACAGATTGATACAGAAATGATTATGAAAATTGATGAATTTGCCCAGTGATTGGGTGTAAATATTGGTATAAGTGTACCGATTTAGAGATATTCCTGTGTCATTCTGTACATGTAAATTAAAAAAATAATTTTGGATTTCTTTCAGCTTCCTGGAATCATCTTTTTTCTCTCTCACCGTCGACGTTTACAATATATTCTATATTCGAACAGTTGGTACCTTAACTCGCAATATTCTTAAGTATCTCTCTTAAGTTCTTAAGTATTCCTAAGTAATCCGCAATGTTGCTCGTTTTTGCCGCACTATTTTGCGGTTGCTAAAATAAATCGCTTGCACTGAGCAAATAAATACAAATGCAATGAACACTTTAAATAATAATTTACGTTACAACTATTTTTTATATATTAAGTAACTATTGTAGTTATATATAAAGAGTAGTGTAAAAAGGAATAATTAGACGATTGATAAATTAATTTAACGAGTTTTAATATGGATTTTTCATAGGAGACTAAATGCAATTTAAGTTTATATTTTACTCGTCTCCATTAAAAGAATCGCGTCAATTGGATGATCGTAAGTTGCGATGCGCTTAATTCCTACGAACACACAATTAAAAGTTTCTTGATTTGCTTAAACTTTTTTTGTAGGCCATGAATAATTTACGACAAGACTAACTCATTTCCCTGATAAAATAGATTACTTAATATTCTGATAAAATTTATCTTTTAGATTACCTATCGCAGTAATAAGTAATATAATATTGCATAACATACATACATGTATCACACATACACGCATATTCGCGGAAGAGAGAGGCTTTAATAAAATTTATTTGATGAGTAGATTTTAAATTAAAAAAGTACCGCTCAAAATTCATTGACTGTGAAACAATAATGCCGCCGTTACCAAGATACGATTATACTGTCAGTTGTACCTTCGTATATATCTTCGACGATGCGAGGACAAGTCCGAAAAAGAATTATGAAAAGAAAAAGAAATAAATAATAGCGCGCTATTTGCAAGTGTGTATATCGATATTCTTCACGCAGGTCTTGCACTCGACGAAACAACACCAGTGAAACTTGCACTCGCATCTCTCCTTGATGGTCGACTTCTGCGTGTTGTATCCCCTGCCGCAGCAAAGGAGATTGCAGCCGTCCATGCCAGACGAGGTTCTATTGCATAATCTACCCTGCGTGCCTGTTGCAAAATAATTCCAAATAATTCGAATATCTTATAAACATTCGAAAAATTAAATCTTGAACCTCTTCCCGATTTTTCCTAAATAAAAATACTCGATAAAAAATGCAACATCTTCGAGAGAGAGAGATAGATAGAGCTACCTAGTGATCCCAGGGTGTCGTTCGGGAGGCAGTAATTCGGCGAGTCGTCCAGATAGACCAGATCGTTCGCAGTGGGTACGGAGAACCTGGGATCGCGCATCGATAAGCGGCCGCGCCGATTCACTTTGACTTCGGTCGCACCGTCGTACTTGTCCAACAGAAAATCGCCTGAAAATGCACAAAATTGCGTTACCGTCTGCACAGCATATTCCCCGAACGACGTAAGTGTCTATGACATCGTACAAGTATCCAAAAGGTATCTTAAATAACGTTATTTAATGATATTTACTATTTAGGATGAATTTTTTTAGATATCTTCAGTCGACGTCAAAGAAACGCCCTAAAGAGCATTTAAGATGTCTTTTAAATTGTCACTTGGACTTTGCATTGTTCGGCGATGAGGGATGTTAATCGCCAGACCTACCGATGTCGCGAAACGATGTGAGCTGCTGCCAGCAGGTGATCAGGCTGCAGCTTCCGGAAACGCCGTGACATTTGCACGTCACCTTGGACCTTTTGATGACGGCCTGCGGGAGATGTATGGTCGGCGCATTAGTTTCGTTTGCCGCCCTTTTGGTTCAGCGAATTCGCATTAAATCGCGCGAAATCGATACGCGCGTACATTTAACGCGACGCGACATTTAAAGAGACATTTCTCGCGCGCGAGCTAAGAAAAGAACGAACTTTACCCTGCGACCGGCCTCATTGTTGTGCAGATTCATCAGGCTCCTGCCCTGCTCCCGGCTGCCCCTCTTAAAGCTGCGCTCCCGCTCCCGCACATCAACGAACGCCTGCGTGAATCTGAAACGGACGTTCGTTCACACTAACTTCGATAATTAAGTACTACATCATGATATATAAATTATATCTCTATATATGTATATACATAAAAACTAGAATATCTGTCTGCGTACGCTATTAACTTCTGAACCCTTTTTGACCAATCTAGACCAAATTTTGCATAGTTACTCTTTAGATTCTTGCAGAAAATATACCATGCAACCTTGATATTCTACTCCTCCCTGATTTCTTCTCCTTGACACTTTGTAATAATTAAAGTTTAGTGCACTATTATATATAAAAAGCTCGGGCAACTCCGAATAATTTAAACCAATATAATTTTATATCATACGATGTGTAGTTAATATTACATTAAATCAAATATAAATATAAGTAGATATTTATCTCATGTCTTTCGGCTTTAAAAGGGTTTACAAAATATTAATTCCAATAATATATTACGTACTGAGATCACAAGTCTAACGAAAATACGACAATACCATTTTACCAAATACAAATAAAAATTATATTAACAAGTAGTGGCTAAAAGAAATTGTTTTCGGAAAAATACCACGGTAATGTATCTCGACTGTTATTATTATTGAAATATATGACGACGGCAGTCGTTATCTATAGGTATGCGCATGACTCTTGCGATCCATCGATGGACCATCATTAATCAAATACCGAAGACCGGTTACGCTGTGTTAATCAGATATAGAGAGTTAGGAAAAATAATCGCGCGCAGAAACATCGTCGCGCGTATCTTTTCGCGCTGGGACAACATCTTATTACCGACGAAAACATGCCTCAAACCAGTTTCCCCGGCTTCTCCGTGACGTTCGCGAGGAGAGAAAAAAAAACACGAGGGAAAAGAAAGAAGGGAAAGAGAAAAGGAAGAGTGTTCGCCTGTACTCCTTCGAATCTTATAAAAGCCACTAAAGAGTGGCTTTTATAGGACCGGCGGTTTACGCGATTCGCGCGACGCGCTCGCACTTACTTGTAGCCGTACTCGAGATTATCCCCGCATCCGCCCCAGATCCAATCGCGCTTCAGATCCTTGGGCCTGCTACTCCTGGAACATCCGCACGACGACAGCTGGCCGTCCCGGCAGGAACGGCTGACGGAGTAGACCACTCCGGCGGCGGTGATCGCGTGAACGAACGCGGTCTCCCTGCTCGCTGCAACGGACAGCGTCGTTTCAATTAGAGAAAAAAAAATAGATGAAAAGATATCGCTCATATCGCTGTCGTTCGCACACGCTACGGTTCCTGAACGTTGGCATTAGCGCCGATTATACCTATTCTGAGTATCGGACCGAACACCGTCTCGTCGTGGACGGTGGAGCAGTTCCACCTTCTGTCCCTGAACTGATGCTGGCACTCCATGACACCGTACTTGGCGCCCTTGGCCACGCTGAACATGTGGTCCACGGACAGCTGGCAGAGCTTTCCCTGGCCCTGGGACAGGCCCTTCAGACCAACGCAGATCGTGGAGGCACTCGCGTCAAACGGTTCCATTGACTGCGCCGGTTCCAATTGCGGCAGGTGTCGTAGACCCAGATTTCTATAGGGGTACAAAATAATAACATAGTTAAAAAACACTTGCAACATCAGGTTTCAAAGATGGATCTAGACTTTCTTTTTTTTTTTAAACATTGGGATTGATTGCAATTTTCTGTTATAGGAAGTCTGGAGAATTCTAGGATTCTCATTTAGGAATTGACTAAGTTCAACGGCCGTTTCGAGAACTCCACGGCATCGACGAAGCGTCGGCCGCAGTCCCCTTATAACTCCTGGAGATTTGTTACGCCGATTATATAAATTCGGTGCGGGGCGGCGAGAGTCCGTCCGCGCGTCCGTGGGCGCGGAGCGGCCCTTGGATTTCCTCCTTAATGGCGCATTTGTGAGTCAACCGTGCGAGATGATGGAACGGCACCGTCAAAGACAGAAGCCGGGGGTCGGGCATGGCCGGGAAAGGGCCCCGCCAATCTGAAATTCGAAACGGACGATCGTCGTCGCGGGCGAAGGTTCCAACAGCTCCAGCGAGCTCGAATCGCGTCTCCCCCCTTGTTTATTCCCGTCGAGAATCGTCCGTCGAGAAAAATCCCCGGGAAATACTTGGTTGACGAAATCGCCGATCCAGGGTAGATCCAGGGGATTTGAACGCTCGCAATTTCTGCGCCAGTGACTCCGACAAACTACCTGTTTACCCAACGACGACCGATCGATCTGCCGTTGCTGCACGCGCGATTTGTGTAAACCGCACATTTGTAGTTTATTGCGACAAGATTTAAATCCTACATTTTCATATATTACAGAAAAAATGTAGATATTTAGAATGGTCATGACAAAGAGGACACCCTGTGTAAGATTAGATATGTTGATACTTGATATTTGCACGCACAAGGTACTATTCTTCTGTTTCAGACAAATTTTACGCTGTGCGATTTAACCCTTTAGTGCGCAGCTTTGCATATATGCAAAGCGAATTTTCGATGTATACTCGTGTATTCTTTCTTATGAAGTTCGAACTGAAAACATGCACATTTGTAAAGGGCCTTCTCTGGCCCTTCTGGACTTCATTCCTTTCTGCCCCCCCCTTCTTTAGAAAGTCAAATTAGTAAAGAATTTTGAAAAAAAGGTTTAGAATTAAGCAGTCATTATTTATTTAAAAAATACTCAGAATGCTACGAAAAATTGCACATTTAAAGGTTGAAAGAGCAACTTTTCAATTATATCTCGTAATCTCAGGTCTGGATTTCCGTCTCGCAATCGCCTTCGTCGCCGGCTGCGACGTGCGCAGCGAGTCGCGACAACCTGCACGGCGACTCGGTGCAATGCAACCTGGACGACCTGCGCGAGCGTGACTCAGGTGAATACTCGTCGGGATTGTCGGCCGGCGATGTGACGCGACCACTTGAGATGTATCAACGGCGTGCGTTACTTAGGAATTTCTACAGCGCAATTATTGGAAGACTATCGTAATTTCATCAAGCCGTTGGTACATTGATTACTGTTAGTGCATTGATTCTACGTTAAAAGTTGAGTAACTTTCAATGCCCGAGGCAGTGTATGTACAATAAGAATAAGTAAGATTTATTAGCGGGAACAAACAGCCACTTTGAAGTGGGAAAAGGAATGCTCGTCTCCGGGCTGTTTTCTTGTCCGGTATCGGGAAAAACAGAATCCCGTAACAATATTCTTCCCTCCCTCGCGTCGCGGTCCATCCGAAGTATCCGCTACGATCGGAAGAGAGAGAAAGCGAAGTCGTAAAAGTCCACGCGACCGTCTAGGGAGTGTAATAGACGACATTAATATTCTGGAACACGCTCCGGCGACGATATATCATCGGCTTTACACTCCCCTAAAACAATGGCGCGGACCGGGGGAAGGGGGCACGCGCGGCAGAAAGAGCGATAATATTTCGACGGGGTACGGCCCACGCAACGCTCGCGCGGGGCACCGTCGTCGTCGCGACGTGGGCCGCGGGGCCCGCAAAATAATGCCCCGTGTCACCGAAGAGATTGCGGCTACATCCGCAGCGACGCGTATATATTCGCATATACGGGGTGTCCCGAGGCGATCGCGAGGCCGCGCGCCGCGCGACGAAATGGGATACTGTCAAGTGTAAAGGATCGCGCCGAGTAATTAAGCAATCGGGGACGATTAGCTGGGCGACGTAGAAATTGCACGACGAGATACGATAAAGGAGAGCTAATGCGTATACGTCGGAAATGCGATGTGATTTCTGACTTCATGACTCTCGCTCCTTCAGTTACAGATTAGCCGTACAAGAGCGTGTCCGGATTGTCCGGAATCGGATCGGAGGAGCAACTTCAGGGGAGGCTTGTAAGCGCATTCCGATGAAAAAAAGCGGTCGGTTAGGCGAGGACGAGGATTTCCTTGCGAGAGATAGGGTATACGAGAGGTGAATTCGGCGCGAAGCAGGTCTGGGGCGATCCGACCGGCACACAAAGGCGCGCGGGCGTCCGGGACCATTCGGTGATTGGTCATGCTCACGCCGGGTAGAACACAGGGGCCGGAATGGCAATTCAGAGATTAGACACACTCCCGGCGAACGAGGCAGGGCGAACGAGCGACGTGGGGAACGAGCTACGAGCTTTCGTTCGCGGCGAGAAAGAGAGAGGGGTTTTCGGGGGCCACACGAAAGATACGCTCGTTCGGATTCCCACGATGCTCGTGGGCACAAAGGCCCATAAATCTGGAATCCGCGTGAAGAATCGCGTCGATTCGTCTCCTGGCCGGCGACGTGTCGACCTAATCGCGCCGGGGACGATCGTCGCCGCGTAATTAACGTTTAAATACGTTTAATTACGAAAATTAAATACAGTTTTTGTCGACGAAGAGATCGCCAGTCGATTATATCTCCCGATGGAAATATAATTCGACGATTCGAGACGGTGGTGCGACTATACCGTGAATAAAAAGGGCGCTTACGATTCCTGGCGGGAACGAATTCGATCGACACACTCGGCGACCTCCTCTTTAATGAGGGGTATAAAGAAGCAGAGATTATTCGAGATAAACTGCTCGTTTAGCAATTCAGTGAATTAATTTGCTCGATAAATTCATTTATTCGCTCGCCTCTCTCACGGTACTTGATGGCGTCCGCGCGTGGTATACAGAATTTCAATTAACCGAGTCGACGTCGATCATCGAAAATTCAATGAAACGTTAGAGCGGCACCCCAGCAGCGGGGCCGTCGCGTCGCGTCAGTTCATCCTTCGATCGGCGATATCTAGGGCACCCCTTGTCCTTCGACGTCGGCTTATTTTAAGAGTCGCGCGAGCCTAATGAAAAAATGTAATCGCGTCCCATCTAACTATAAATACGCGCGTGAAAACCGCTTGACACCTTCGATCCACGTCCGACGCCGCGGGGAAAAAGGAAGAGAGGAAAAATCGTCGCGTCACGGACGAGCGATACCGAGAAATACTTACATCCAGGTCCCCGGGACCGTCGTGGCGGCTGCGGCGGCGACCATCAGCGATCGCAGGATCAGGAGTGGACCATTGCGCATCGTCATCCTTCTTCTTCACCCCTGCAAGCATCGGAGGAAATCGGCAATTTTGTATTACGAGCATCCGCGGAGCGTTCGCGCGGAGGCACCGTATTAATCGCTTCATTAGGAAGACCGCCGGCGCAGCCGGCCGTAAATCGTGCCTATGTAGCCGTACGAAAAAGGAGCGGTGACCGCGGAACGGTGAAATCAAGGTCGGATCGATGCATCACCCGGTCGCCGGCGGAAAAATCGGGTCTCAATTAAACGCCGCGCTCAGCCGAAGCGGAATCTTGACGCTCGCGCGAAGCCTAGAAACCGGGGAAACTGAGGAATGGCGATTCGTGCCGCGCTTTAGAAGCTATCAAAATTGAAGAAGTTAAGATTAACCATATATATACATATCTCAATCTAATTAGTGTCTTGATTAGGAATTTGGTAAATTATAATAAAAGATGATAACGATCTATAATCTTCTTATAAAAACTTCAATTTTTTTTCTTGATTGAACTATCTTCATTCGAGCAATATATAATCTCATTTCAAGATTTCGATCAGAATATTCTTCTTTTCTGTGTAGCTTTTGAAGACTCGAAGCATGGGAGATCATATAAACTCTGCGGCCGGATTAATTACAAATTACAATTCATCCATTGACGATACATTTGATTATTCAGACGCAGATGAGAATAACTCGCTTTGATCCTGGCCAGGACTCATTGTCAGTAATGTACACGAAGATATCGCGACGAGAACAGAAACAGATCTCGCACTTCGGGCGATTAATGCAATCCTTCTTGGCGTCTAGATAGGCGTATTCGGTCAAAGGCGCGACAGGGTGACGCGAGATCGACCGACAGGCTCTGCGAATCGTATAACTCAACGCCCGTTGATATCAACAATTTGTGCAACGTGAGAGCGATGCCGCGCGATACAGGCGCGCGCAAGGTGTAATGTCAAAGCTGTGGTATATACCATAATCGTCCCGTGGGCCTGGTTGTCTCCTCGTCCCGAGGTCAGCCGGTAGTCCACGGGGGACAGTGACGTAGCCGAAACGCGCGCGGACCCGCGCGCGCGAAGCTCTCACGTCCGTTTTCGTTATAACGTCAAGTGCCATCGCATTATGTAAATAACGTCGAGTAAACCCTTTAAGATAACGGTGCGTCGCGTCGCGAGGTAACCGAAGATTTCGTCATCCCGATCTAATTACTAGTTCAACAAGCGTCCCCACAAACGTTCCGGGACCTCTTGAATTCCGGGAGATTCCTCTCGCCGATCCCCGCGATCGCCGATCGTTTCTGCGCGGAATTCTCCACGCGACGGGGGAAAGGAGAGACGGTAGCTCCCTGGCCGCTTTCGCGGACCGCTAGCTCTCACCGGTGGCTATACATCCCTGTGTCCCTGTGCCCGCGCCGCGCGGAACGGGTATACACACGTGTACAACGCAAGTGTATGTACACGCGCGCTCCTTGCGCTCATAGACGGCACATCGCCGTCTATATCTAGCCCACGCGATCGGCCCGGCGATATTAGCCGGCGCATAAAACGCATTTGCGATCACGGCGGGAATGCAAACGGCGCGCACTTCGGCGTCCGCGTCCCCGCGCCGAGCCGCGCCGCGGAGCGGGCGGACGCGCGCGGATTATCAGCGGTTAAGTATCTCGCGCGCTGGAGGCTCGCGGCTGAACAAGACATGACCGAGGCGATATAGGATGCAATAAGCGCCGTTGCGTCTGCTACGGAATGAGCCAATTGCCGATTCCCTATGGCTGCGTCGTACCGGCGTATAGTTATAATGAGCAACAAAAGGAAGAGAGGCAGAAGGCGAAAGAGAGAGAGAGAGAGAGAGAGAGAATCTCAAATCTAATATTAGGTGCACGTGCATAACGACGCACTTTGCTCGGCTACTCGAGTAGTCGCGCTTGCATAATCCCCGTGACAGAGGCCGGCAACGCGCTGGCTGCCGAATCGTAAAATGCGATCGTAACGCGAGGCACGATTATAAAACGGTTCGGTTTCGCGGCGCGCGAAGCGACGATTTACTCACGTCGTTAACGCGATATCGCGGATCCTTCGCGAGGAATTGGTAAGGGAGAAAAACTTGCAATTAAATACAGAAGATGTCATCTTCGGTCGGGCTGGATCTTGATAGCCTAATAATGATAATTCTTGTTATTGAAATAAGGCTCGTTTTGCAGAGCAATGTAAGGGAATAATGGGCCAACGATACGCTTAAAAAAATTCAAGATATTATATTAATAATAAAATTTATTCGTAAATAGAATGGGTAATATAATAAATAATGTTCCTGTGTGAATTTTGTGTACTAAAAAGAAAAACTTATCAGTTAACGTGTGGGATACACGGGTTGCGAAATCCCGTTCCTTCTCCATCCTCTCGTCCATCTCGAATTTCTGGATTATAAATGACGATATCGCTTTAAACACGGAGTCGCGTTTAAAGCGAGCTTAATGAATTGCTTATGCTCGCTTTATTGCGTGCTCTCGGCCTGTCGTATAATTTAGCGTTATCTCAAGTTCTTCAGCAACGAATTTATTCAACGACGTGATACAGCTGATAAAATGCCGATCGCGGTCTCGGAATGCAATCGCGGGAGGAAAAAGAGTGAGCGAAATTCACGTTTAAGGATCTCGGGGACATGCAGGCGGATCAGAGTCGTCGATATCCAGGTAGGCCGTTAATTGTATTCACTAGATAAGACGGTGCGCGTTCGAGGGTCCGAGTCGCGTCAAACGGTCCCCCCGAAAGGGGGCAATAGGCTCTAGATTTTCACGGAGCGCGCCAAGATGACGACTCGAGCCCTCTTAACGAAGCTGGAAGCTAAGGACGGAGTGTACACACACTTGAGGTGCGCGTACGCGGAGGAAAACGAGAGCCTACCGGGGCCGAGAGACCGCGGCGAGAGTGGGCGAGAGGGACAACGGGGAGGTAAGGAGGGGCACAGGGGATGCAGAAGGGGCCCCGCGAGAACGGCAGAGGAAGGAGAGGAGGAAACGGGAGATGAGAGAAAGAGGAAGGTCGGAGGAAAGGCGGTGGAGAGATCGGGAACCTGGACGCGCGGAGGAGCACGGGGGTACGCGAGTACAGTGAGACCGGTCGACGATTGTCAATACAGAGCCTGCGCGAGGATACGACTTGCTAGAACAATTCAGATAGGAGAAAAACCAGTCAACTGCGGAAACACAAACTCCGCTCGATGGGAAGGATCGTTCTGTCTCTTAGGAGTCTGTACGGTGCTTCGCATAATCCAAGGACCTGTAATACAACGTGTACTCGAGAACCCACCGTTGTTTTGCAGAAACCAATCGCGAAATCAATCCTGAAAATACGGAATGTTTTAAAATAGACTTTAAATGCTCTAAAATGGACTTTATCAATCTGCTGGATCAAGCGCTCGATTAAACCCTCGCTAATTTCTTGATATCTTTTTTCAAGGCGGCCGGGCGAGGTGTTCGATAAAGAGTCATTCGAGGACACAGGCACTGTTTGGTAAAACCCGATCGAACGAGCGAAAGCGACCGAGGACCGAGGCGCGAGGCGCGAGTGGAGAGTACTCAGAAAGATTGCAACGACGCTGAAGAGTAATTACGTACATCAAGAGGGAGACGGTCCCTTTTTACAGACACGTGAAAGAAACACAAAAGGCTCTCGTCGGACATTGTAATCGTTGATTACGCTCGCTGTACGTGCGTAGGTATCCGGCACTCCATCCAATCGTAACTCATAACTTTTACGACGCTTTCGTGAAGGTACCTTATTAACATTCAGCCGCACTAATTTATCCTCGGGAGAACTGACTTTTAATTGGGAGGTATCGGAGTAACGACGTCGTATTATACCTTCTCGTTTCGAATCGTAACGCACGTGACTATAAACGATACGGAAACTCGTGGATTTTCTGACGGATCAAGTTTATGTGTACGGTACCCGATGGCGCGTTAATATTGATACACGTATTAAGAATCCAATTTAATTTGATAACAAATTGAATGCGACGAGATTTACCGGCTGATCGTGAAAGATCCCCGCTTTCGGAAACGACGCGCACGAAAAGTCGGAAATTGTCTCCGCAAGGGATCGTCAACGTCGAGCCCTTTCTCTCTCCTCCTCGATCGAGGGTAATCCAGGATAATCGCGCGACTCGATCTAAGATAATGGAAGTACACGAGCCTCGTTGTCGATCATCGTCATATTACGAAGTCCGGATCGCGAGCGCGTCGTTATATACCGTCGCGCGTCTCTAAACGTTCCGCGAAATGATCCTCCCCGGTGATTACACCTCTCCGGGGCCAGTTCAATGCCAGGTTCGTCGTACGGCCCCGTCGGGGCTCCCACACGCGAGAGCTGAGCGTGTAATCGTCGATGATGCGTCTCGTCGCGCGAAATATCTTTTGTACCCGGCGAATATTTCCGCGCGGGGCGCGGCTAATGGCGGCGGCAGCGGTCGTAAAACGCGACAGTTTTAAAACGCGCTTTTCACCTCGTTTAAAAGGCGTCGTCGCGGGAACAGCGGCGAGCGATGCGATATTATTCACCCGATAACGACCGCCGTCATTAAACACAACAATCTCTCGGTACTCGGCGAGAGATTAAGCTCCTCTCCTCTTACCGCGTCGCGCGATCGTACCATATTTTTCCGATTGTCCGAGGATATAAGGACCATCTTCACGGCGAAAAGAAAAATTCAGATCGAAAATATTTTCCCGAAAACATAGAATGGAAATCGGGTCGCGTCCAGCTTTCGTCTGGAAAAATTGTCAGGGATGTCAAAACCAAGAAATATTAGGGATATTAGGGCTAATTCTAATTTCTAATACATTAGTTATCGATCCTTGTTGATCGTCCCTTAGGAAAATAACGTCCCATGAGGGAATGGTTTCAGGTCTACGGAAATGAGATCAATGACGCTTGCCGGAGCATGCCTATATATTGTTCGTGACGGTCGCAAAGTGGAGCAAAGTACGAGGCATAACGGAATGGTCATTCGCGAGATGAACTCCGGGCGAGCCGTTAAAAAGGGTGGGGAGGGAGGCTCGCCTATTAATCCACCGAGACATCGGTAAATCATTGCCGGTCCAGCGACTATCAAGCGGAAATTCTCGCGACTCGGCTCGGCTCGGCTCGTATCTCGAGCCGATTCTCTACGCTCGTTTACCGATATCTGTCTCTCTCTCCGCGGCGATATCTCTTCGGGAATCCGGTAATCTTTGTCCGCGAGAGAGCATGCCAATTTTTCACGTCAATTATGTTCCAGATGAAATCAAACGAAGGGGCACCGCCGAGATCGCGGACGGGAAATTCGATTTTAAGCGAGAAAGTTCCGGCAAGCGCACGTTCGGATATGTTTCTTAGAAAGTTACGATTTATATGCATTGCGCCAGCACGAACGTTACGAGAATACATACTCGGAATATTTAAGAGTTGATCCTCTCCGCTGCACGCGCGCGACGTTCGTCCTTTTGGAGTATAACGGGCTCGGAACGGGCCGAATTTCGAAGCGTTCGACAGACAGGCATCTGCGCGCCTGCAGAGATATTACTTTATGTAAAATCTAGAATCACGCCCGCGAACAATGGCTGAAAAGTGAAAGGGTTGAGCGTCCTCAGAGTCGCGACCCTCTCGCGACGCGACGCGGGCGAGCGATCGCGCCGATGAAAGCTTATCTCGACGGTCTCTCTCTTTTGAGTATCGGACCGCCACCGTACACCGTCATCGCGTATACTATAACGACCGCCCGCTAACGAGATCCTGTTACGATGGCTGACAGTTGTCTGAACGCGTGTTTCGATCCGCGAGGCGCTGCGTCGTTCGCGCGTTACGCGCGTGTATTCTTCGCCGAAAGAATCTTGTTACAGCTTTTATCACGGGGAGACCGAATTCGCAATCGCGCTTTCGGAATCGTGTAATTGTATTCTAATTATTCCCATTCCTGTTCTTAGTCGACATTTTTACGGATACTTATTCTTTTATCGTGTGAAGTATGCGTTCAGCTTTAAACCGACAAAATTTATAAGTTTATTATGATCTTTGGCTGTTTATACAATACTCGTGCGTATGAAGAAGAGTTACATCTACGACGTATACAAAAGTATATATCACCCCTGGGCAATAAATTCTTTACAATGATTTAATAAGAATGCATCAAAATTTAAATCGCTTATCGATTTAAGTATGTGAATTTGTAAGAACGCGTGTTTTGTTAACTATATTATACTTTCGAGACGTATCTGTGTTACTTATTGTTTTGATACTTTTGATGGATCATCGACACGAGGTTCGAGCGGACGAAAAATCATCGATCGAGGAGTGTCGCTATTTAGACGCGTTGCAATGAGTAAAACAATCCGAAACGAAAGTGAAGAGTTAGATAGACGTGGCGCACGTTCGCTAGATTTTTGTCGAAGTACTTTTCCTGTATCAATCGCGTTTCTATCATTAATTAAACATCTAAACAAAAACCATCGATTTTAATTGTCTGACCGGTTCACATCCTGCCGACTCCATAGATTTATCTTTCCAACTATAACTGTTTGGAAAAAATTTATAAAATTCATACAATAATATTATTATTAGGCTACCAAGATCCAGGCTGGACAGTGAATGATGTTTTTTCTCTCCAATTGATTATACAAAATAACTATAAACTTTTATGCTTTACAGTTTGATAAATAATAAAATTTTGTAATTATTATACGCTCTTATGTTCCGACTCGGGAATATTTATTATCTCGAAACTAATAATCGTGCGGCGTTCATCACGACGAATTGTCCATTATACTAAACTCGTCGGGGTGAGCCACGGCGAGTTGCCGTTTAATTGAATAATTACTCACCGGAACGGAGCAAGCCGCAGTCGTTAAGTATCAGAGATAATTGCGCCCCGGCTCGACTCGCCGGGATAATCTTGTATCGTTCGCTCGTCCTTCCGCGATAATAGCGCGATCACGAGTGCGAATCGATCTCGCCTTCTCCTTATCGGGGGGAAAATCACCCGCGACGGGACCTCGTCCTTTGAATCGTGAATAGTCCTTCGGACGGAAACGTTCCTCTCCTTCCTCGCGCGACACGACTCCGCGCCGCTTCACGTCTCATTTCGCGGCTCATAACACCTACCGGCTCGCATAATTGGTTCGCCCGAGTCTCTCTCGGGTCGCACGGAGAAGATCGGGCCCGAGGATCTGAACGAGTACTCCGGCCGTGGATCGAGTACTACTTGCGCGATCCTTCCCCGGCCCCGGCACAGCGCGGCACAGCGAGCGGCGCGGCGGAGAACGCGTGCTGGAAGAGCGAGATTTCTTCTCGGAGCGAAACCTGATCGCCTGGGCGAGCTGCTCGCGCTCGGTCACGCCAGCGCGCGATTGCGATCTTGATGGAATAATTTCCGCCGAACTCTTTCGCCGCCGCGTGCCCGAGTTTTAAACGAGTCGCGGCCGTTCGGCGCGACTGAACGCGAGGATCCCGCTTTCGAGCCTCCGAGCTCTCTAAGGATACGTTCGAGATGTACGATCGTCCAAGATCGCGCCCTCGATCCTTAATGCGTAGCGTTAATTGCCGCTTCAACGAATCTCACGACGTCGAACTTATAGCTCAACTGTGTTCCGCTCGGATGCGCCTGCAGACGGTCGGCGTTCTTGTTCTACTGGAGAACCTGTCATCCGATCCAACGTCCGAGATAAAAGCGAGCTACCGAGGTGCATTATTCGATGATCCCTCGAGCGCTCGTTTTTGTATGTCGTATAAAGATCCTCAGATTCTTCAGCATTCGTACGGTCGATTTGTCATATATATAATCCGATTTTCTTAAATCTTAAATCTTTTCCAACGAGCGGCAAGATCGGTATTGCTGACGACGACGATCTCGGCATAGAAGACCGAAGGACTCTGCTGAAGCTTAAAAACCGCTAGATCTCTATCCGCCACTCGCCAGGCTCCAAGACTATCGCCTTTTCTTTTCTGGACGAGCTCTTCGGGGAACCAACGGCGTTTCTTGATCAAAGAGCGAGCGGTATACTTCGCGCAGAGCGACTTCGTCAAAGTCGTCCGGGTGAAGAAGCCTGATGGTCCCGGCGGAATCGAGCTCCCGGAGGATGAAAGAAAAAAAAACAAACAGACTCTCGCGGCACCTTTCACCGGTGGGGGCACTTCCCGGAGTCTCGTGTCCTGCGGCGTCCTCGTATCTCGCGGCAAGAAGAAGAACGTCGGAGGAGATGTGTCGCCGAAGACTCGGGGGCACTCTTCCACAACGGAGCTCTTTCCCTCAACGGGGGACGCGGAAATGACCTCGTTGGTGAACGGTTGCTCCTCCTCGTGGTGTTATCGGAGGGCCCTGGGAACGCTGCGAAACCGACCGGCGCGGCGTGTTGGTACAGAATGATCGCGGCAGGGTCCACGAGCCTATGGTCCCTCTCTTTTCGCTCTCCCTCCCGCTCCTCTCCTCCCCCCTCGTTCTGTCTCTCTCCTGCTCTCTGTGGTAGTCGCGTACCCCTTCTCTGTCTCGTCGACCAGCGCTTCTCTCTCTCTCCCTTGCCCTCGCACTCGATCTCGTTCTCTCGCTCCCTCTCTCGCTTTCTCTCTCTCTTTCTCTCTGTCTCTCTTACCGTAGGCCCGCGGCTCTTTCTCTCGGAGAGGGAACCCCTCGATGGTCGCACGAAACCCGCCGGCTGCTTCTCTCCCCTGCTGCTTTTCTGCCTTTCCGTTCATCTCTCTTCCGTTGCTCCGCTCGCCGTATCTTCTCACTCTCTCTTTCTCTCTTTGCCTTACTCGTTTTCTTTCCCTCTCTCCCTTTGCCGCGCGGTGGCTGGTTCATTGGTTTCATCGGTGCACCGGCCCGGGCTCTCCGTATTCTTTTCTCTAATTATACCGTTACGTGCAATCGCCCGTGTCAATTAGCAGCTCCTTTCTTTCGTTCCTCCTCTGCGCGCGCTTTTTTTTTTTTTCTCTCGCCACTCTGGCTGGAGATCCGACGTGGCGTGCAACCCCTTCGAAGGGATCGCTGCGCTGCGCGAGGGAAGGGAGAGGAGGTCGAGGAAGCAGGGCAAGGGGTTGCGGCGCGCGCGATCGGACCCGCCAATTAATCCTCCGCACTCCGCATCCTTCGAGCCGCTCCGCTCGTGTAACAAGGCCGCCACTCTAGCAGGGATACCCGAAAATCCTGAAGACTTCTTTCAGGGCCCGATGGGGATTGGTGTGTCACACAAATATATAATATCTAAAATGTTTAACACAACTTAATTAAATTTGCAGCATACGAAACACGAGATTCAAGATAAATATTTAATATAATATATTGAGTACTATATTGATGTAAGTGTTTAAAATATGTTTATAAGTCACTTTAAGAATAATATGTATACATATAAGTAAAAAATTTTCTTTCTTCTCGCTAAATAAATCAAATAAATCGGCGAAAAAGACCGTAAAAAATTATTCTTTTCAACAGAGGATACAATCAGAATTTCATTTTTCCGTCTCAGAATCTCATTTCATTTTCAAAGAGCTTATTTTAGAATCCTTAGAGATCCTCATTATTCTCTCCATTTGGCATTGCATTTAACCGTGAAGATACGGTTTTCCAATTCCATTCACCTTTTTGTACGGATGTCCGACCCCCTCGGAACAAAGATATTACTCGCCTAAAATCCAATGTTACAGTCGTATAATAAAATCATGTAAAGATGTAATATTGCGCATAATGATAAAAATTAGCAGAATGACACGAGCGGAGCAAATTCGTTCAAAAATTCACAAATCTAATCTACGATTCCAATTCCTAATAGAAAAATTACATAATCAATTATATCATTTATATTAATTATAATTTGTTATAAAAATTCACAATTCTTTAATTTTAATATTTAGAAGATACAGATCTCCAATTGGCCACAAACGAGGGTGATTATTCTGTACCATTCTTAACCATTTACGAGAATGTGACGTGACAAGTTTATGGACAACCCCGGCTAAATTCCGATTAATCTAAATCTAATTAACGATTAACTCAAGAACTGCTTACAGTAAAATTTTTAACTGTACGATTCGTTGTCCCCGATCTAATTTATTTCTTTCATATGTTAAATAAGAACTAATAATTCTATCCATGTTATAAATTATAAATAATAAGGCGTTACTTATGATAAGTTAATCAGAGATTAAGTTAATCGGAGCCGAAGTCACCCTCTATCCGTCCTCCTTTCTCCGGTGGACCATCCGGCGCCCGAGCGCAGCTGCGCTATAGTTCCATCGCGATGATCGCGTTCGATATCGAACACGCGACGGAGATCGACGGACAGGAAAAGAAGGGGGGGAGGGCGTTTAGCGCTAAATGCGCGGCGTGATTGCGGGGCCGTCGTCCGTAATCGGGGTTTTACCGCGCGCGACGATAAACCAGCCGCCATTTATGAAAGAGAAACAAAAATCCGCCGCTCGTTAGAGCCCTCGGCCGCGCGCGATGAGGAGATACGGTTTATTCATCGGCGCTTTTTCTTTCTCGATCGCCTCTCTTCCCTTTAATTATACCGTTACGCGCGATCGCCCCCTTCCCCCTCCCATCCACCCTCCTTAATTGGCTTCTTCCATTGCGGAGAGCAATGCCGATCGCTCCCGCCGCGGGCCGATTTCACCGCGGGCCCCCGCTATATATATCCGCCGACGAATCTCGGGCGAAAACTCCCCGCGGATCGGCGGCGTCACGTTCCCGATCAACGTGCTCTCACACGTGTCGCGAGCGTAAATCGATAATCCGTTACGTCATCGTGTAACGCGTCGCTTTGACGATGTCGACTGGTCGACGATACCGGCCGCCTCTCTCCCATGTCCCCCCCTCCCCCGCTCCGTATACTATCTTTGTATGGGAGAAACGTATCGCCGCGTCGCGACACAAACCCGTCGAGATATACCCGTTAAGTATCCCCGCGCGCGCCAATACGGTAATCACCATCGATTAATCTGTACCCTCTCACCGCTTTCCTCTCCCCTCCAATAGAAGTGACACGCGCGATCGATCACCTTAATTGCGGCAGATTCTGTTCCCTTTTCTCGACCACCGCTCAACGGGGTAACATTAATTGAAGGCCTTTACGCCACGAAACGTTGCCACCGAGAAAAATGTTAGACTCGGCCTCCGATCGTTATCGCGTCCCTCGCGCGTTTTTCTTTCCCGCAGGAAATCGTCTCCCCATTATCGTGCCAGGCGACTCTTATCAGCCAAATGTTGTCAATTAAACACACGCGACAGGAAGGACGATTGACAAAGATTATAACTCTCAGCTGCGTCGCTAATTAAAGACATGTTTTATAAATAAATGTAAAATGGAACTATGGATATACATATCGCCAGTCGAATACAACAACGGATAATTACAGAAAGATGCACGTGTATTTTTTCCCGTTATTACAGACATGTTTCACTTTTAACGTTTTCCATCGTTTTTCACTATTGTGGAAATGTTCGCGATTGCAAAGGGGCCTCGATCACGCCCCCTATTACAAATTCCTCGTTTGTTAGAAATCTTACAGACGTAGGAAATACCTTAATCCTACCGATGTACAGTTTGGGTCTGACCTCGACAAAGTGGTGGAGCGCATTTACCGCAGCGATGACTTATCGCGAATGAGATATATAATTTAATTACATAGAAAAAATGTACAATTGATTCACGGAGTGTATCATTAGTTAATCCTAAGTTACACGATTCTCCGAACCTCGAAGAATCGCTTCAAGTAAAAGATCTGCCCTGCCGTCACGCAGACCAGTACCAGGGCCTCGAAGAACGCCCATATCACTACGCGGAAATTGGTACTCTCGTTGATCGCTCTGTGATTGCGATCGCGAACCTGAAAAATCAAGCAAGAGACGCTCGTGAACGTTTAGATCGGATCGGCAAATTGGAACATCAATGGAGGAAGCATACACGCGTCTTGCTTCTCCGTTAGTACCTGCATGTACTCCTGCTCGTTCTTCACACCCCACAAGCTGGTGCTCAGGTCTTTAATCATGTCGTCTAACTTCCCATGATTGGCATCGCCATCCTGACCCTCCGCACCAGCGTTATCCTCGGTTTGCTTTCGATTTTCGTCAATGTCCATATTGAACATCACCACTTTTGGCGTCATCGTGCTCTTCTGATTGCTGAAGCAATAGGTGTAAACACCCGAAGTATGTGCGGCGAACGTATATTTCCCGCTGCTCTCCTGCTCACCTTGGTAGATTATTCTACCGTCAGGGCCGACTATCTTGACATCTATATCTAAGAATCCACCCTCCGCTATTTCAAATGTGAGGCCTGTAAACAAAATTACATCCTGATAGAAACGTACATTGATTTAAAATTTAGTTCTTTTTCTGGAAAATAGTAATTTCCTCAATAATAACAAAAAGTAGAAAATCTTAAGCAAACATGATAGTCAGAATTAAATGATCATTTAACTTTACTTTGGCATACAATCAGCGGAGAAAAACATCTAGGGTAAAATAAAGTAAAATAATCTCAAACATATATTACGTAAAATTTATATACGTTGTATAGATAAATTTTCATGAAATAGAACTTGTGTTTTTATCCAAAAATTTGTATAAAAATCTCGTAAGTAAAAAAAGTAAGAAAATCGGTAAAGTAGCAATTATTTTAAAAAAGTAGAGAAATCGACAAAGTAGCAATTGATAAAACAAATGACAGGATTAATCTAAATTAGATGCGCTAATGAATTACGGCGTCGTTAAAAAAATCGCTCGCTTAAATCGCCCACGGTAGTGACGAAACGCAGTAGGAAAACTAACCCATCTTGGTGCCGAATTCAACCTTATCGAAGAAACATTCCTCGGCGTGGGCGTCTACGGTGATGAAGTAGCAACGCACGCTGACGATAGATACGACGAGGAATACGCACGAGCTGAGCCACCTCATTTTCTTCGTTCGAATTTTACCGTACAATCATAAAAATGACATATGCTTTTATCTCCCCGTGGCCCGTACGCACCGATCGCTCGCCAGTTCGCACTTCACAGCGGCATGTTGCTACCGCAGCGCCACGTATTCACGTCGCCACGTATCAAACTCGGAGACGAGAGGCCCTTTAAAAGAGGGTCGCCCCAACTTGTCACGCGACTTGGTAGCGGTGGACTCCGATTCGATTGGCTGAAGTTCTGAATGTCAAATTTGGACATCTATGATGCCATATGATCTGTTGGTTATATGCAGCGAGATATATAATTATATTAAATTAAATATTATATTTTTAAATATCTAACGTTGGTAAGTAAATTTATTCTCAATTAAAATACTAAATAATAACCAATTGTTAAAAATATAATTAAAAGTCGTAAACTGATTTATAAAATAAAAATATCTGGTTCAGTGGAAAAATTCGATTCAGAATTAAGATACAGGGATCAATTTAATCCTTTCATGTCCTATTTCTTTCGAAAAGAAGAGTGTATAAAGTTCAATTATTTTGTTTGAAATCGCTCAACTCGAAAGTGATGTGAAAATAAAAGCAAATAATACTAAAAGTTCTAAAATAACGATTTCAAATATTAAGATATCTTCGAATCACGATGAAAATTTGCCTGGAATCTCCGATTTGGACGAAATAAACAATTTTAAAATTAAAATCTATAAATTGACGCGGCAGGAACGTTTAATGTAAATCGGCCCCTTTATTCATTCCGATTAAATTAAATTAAAATACATATAATATTGTTAAGTTTCAGCCAAATCGGTGAGGAGGCCACTGATTCTTCATATTTACCAATAATAATATTAACCTTGCAATTAACGTTGTCAGTCATTTCGCCCCGACCGCGTTTTCCTTTCCGCTCGATTATACCTCGCCAGAACTACAAAAACTTTTTGCGCAGCCTGCTGCCTGCTGCCCGCAGCCGATCCATCTATCTTTCATGTCCACGCGATCGCCAAGACAGAACCTCGCCAATCACATTCGGTCACGCATCTCCTTTACTCCTTCTCCTTTCTATGCGCATGCAACCCGAGCACGCTCGCGTCTTTCGATCGATGTTGACGTGGGTCGTGTTTATGTCCCGCGTTGTTTTTGTCTCCCGCGCAAAAACGCAGAAACGATTCTCTCTCTCTCTTTCTCTCGAGGAAGGTTAAGGAAGGAACGACAACATCCCCGGGGCTCCGAGCTCCGATCGCCGACTCGCTCGTTATCGTTGCCCTTTGCGCTCCGGATGTGCGCGAGCGCGCGACTATGGCAACGATAGAGGTCACGTTCCCGTCGGACGGGTCGCCCGGGAAAATCCTGAAATGGAGGGTACGCTCGGACACAATGGTCGCAGCGGGCAGAATATTGCTGTTATACCAGAACGCGTCGCTGGCCGCCGCCGCCGACGACGACGAGGAGGCCAAGGAGCCCGAGAAGAAGCTGCGGGCAACGAGTTTCGGCCGCGTCAAGCAGCTCCTGGTCAAGGAGGGTGATGTCATCCAGCCTGGGTATGCATCCTTCCCGCAGTTTTTGTTTGGATGACAGTTACGTGGACTCTCATGTCGTAGCGTCGTCATGCTCAAAAATCTGCAAAATAACCAACTCTAAGCGTCTTCGGACGAAGAATATGTGTATATTTTTTTGTTTACCTTGCGTTAGACGAGGATTCTGTGAAGATTCAAAGATCTTAAACTTGTATCCATAGCGTAAACTGACAGATCTTCAGTTTTTGAGTCAAATGATAAAGAGCGTCTTCTCCTGCTCCATTTCTAAAAGTGGAAAAAAATTGTATATCTTTAAAAACAAATATTTGATTTTCAATATTATGACATGAGGATTTTAGATAATAATTATATCGTGTTTGAAAATATACCTTTTCAAATGAAGCAGTTTTGTATTGTGTCATTTATTCAAAATATACTTGAATTTTGTGATATCTGCATAGTCGGTTAGTGTTCCAGGCAAGTGATAGCTCTACTGGAAGGGTGTACACATCCCACTGTGATGATAGACTTGTGCGCAGAATGCGGGGCCGACTTGAGGGTGCAAGAAACCAGCAAGGATGGAAACACGGCTGGAGTATCTCAGGCCAGCGTGCCCATGGTGCACAGCATACCAGAGCTGAAAGTATGTCCGGAATTAGCAGAGAAAATTGGGAAAGAGGATAAGCAACGTCTTTTAATGGATCGAAAGTTAGTGCTACTTGTGGATCTCGATCAAACAATCGTTCATACCACAAACGATAATATTCCACCTAATTTGAAGGTACGTTGACATTTCATTACGCCGATATAATTCTCCATAAAAACTATCGAAATTGTGAGCGTTGTTGCAAAACAATCAAATGTGATCATGTTTGTTTTTTTAAGGACGTTTTCCATTTTCAATTATACGGGCCGAACTCTCCGTGGTATCATACCAGATTAAGACCAAACACCCGGCATTTTCTCTCGGAAATGAGCCGACTGTATGAATTACATATTTGCACTTTCGGAGCAAGAATTTATGCGCACACTGTTGCGTCATTGTTAGATAAGGATGGAGTTCTGTTCTCGCACAGGATACTTTCTAGAGACGAATGTTTCGATCCAGCATCTAAAACTGCAAATCTCAAGTATTTATAAATTATCTTAAATTTTACGTAATATTATTATAGGGATAAATATCTAAAGATTAATTTTGTATTGTATTATTTATTGCAGAGCTCTATTTCCATGTGGCGATGACTTAGTATGTATTATAGACGATAGGGAAGACGTGTGGCAAGGGTGTGGAAATCTGGTTCAGGTTAAACCCTATCATTTTTTCCGTCACACTGGAAACATTAATGCACCACCAGGTTTGGAAAAGGCTGATGCACTACGTTTGCCGGAGCCGGCGAATGCAAATGAATCCTGTACAAATGATTCGCAAAGTAAAGATAATAAGAATGATGCACCAGAACCTGAGACACCATTAAATGAAGCCAAACAGACGTTGGACCCCTCTGTGGATCCCTCTGTGGACCCCTCTGTGAATCCCTCTGTGGATCCCTCTGTGGACCCCTCTGTGAATCCCTCTGTGGATCCCTCTGTGGATCCCTCTATGGATTCCTCTGTGGATCCCTCTATGGATTCCTCTGTGGATCCCTCCGTGAAAGAAACAAATTATGAAGATAAGAAAGACGAAAAGACTGAGAACGAGGTGAAAGAAACAAAGAATGGGAAAGATGAAAATACCAAAGCGAATGCTGAAGAAGATGTTGAATCCAGTGTTGAATCTAATACTGCGAAAGAAGATGATAAAACTGATAAGGAAGTGACGGAAGTTGCACCATCTGTGAAAACAGATAAAGACAGTAAGCAAGCGACACCAAAGGAAAATAACATAATAGATGAAGATGATGATGATTATCTGCTATATCTGGAAGATATTCTTCGGAGAATTCATACAGAGTTTTACGCTACGCACGACCAAGAGAACGCTCGAAAATCTTTGCGGGATATAATCCCACGGGTGCGCTCTCAAGTTCTGAAAGGATTATGCTTGACTTTTAGCGGCTTGATACCCACTCATCAAAAGCTTCACCAAAGCCGCGCATATAAAGTCGCGAGAGCATTCGGAGCGGAAGTGACTCAAGTAACGAATTTGATATTTGATATTTTTATTTATATTTTATATTTCTATAAATAACAACAGAATTTTGTCAGGATTTAACAGAGAAAACTACGCATCTAGTTGCTATTAGAAAAGGTACAGCGAAAGCAAACGCGGCTAGAAAAGTTGCAAACATTAAAATCGTAAATTCGGATTGGTTGTGGACGTGCGCAGAACGCTGGGAGCATGTGGATGAGCGCTTGTTTCCTCTCACGTCACAGGTATAAATGCCACAATTTTGCGACATTAAGTTACGTTATTTGAGCAATTATTTTTACGATAATTGTTTGAAACGTACGTTGTCTCGGCATTAATAATAAACATGAAGTATCATAGGCACGCGGATCAAGAGTACCACCACCGCACTGTAGTAGTCCGGAACGCGTTGAGGATGTAGAAAGCGACAGTACAAACTCCTTTGCCAACTCTATTAATCCATTAATGTCATTCACTCAAGAGGAGATTGAATTTATGGATAAGGAAGTAGACGAGGACATGGAAGATATGATTTTCGAAGACGAGGAAGATGCGGAAGAATGTGGTACGAGGATACGTCGTCGGAGTTCCGATTCTGAAGATTCTGTGAATGGTAAAGCCCATTTTAGGCGACTTGTAATATGCGACAAGATTCAGATACAATTCTTTCTTTAATTTCATGTACTGTGTAATATAGGAAACACCTAAAAAATCAGGATACGTGTACACCCATACTGGAACATCTAAAATTGTATCTTATTTTATTACATCAAAATGTCCTAGATGACCATAGTTTCCAAATTGCTTTCATTACAGTTACCATTTTTACGGGAAGAAGTTGTAAGCTTCTTGCCCATTCTAGAGGATCAAATTTATTTTTAAAATTTATCTATTGTTTGAAAATTTCTATCCTCCAAGGAACGACACTATCGTAATTTGTTTATTATGATATCACGAGAATTAAATTTTATATTTCGTAGACTGCTTCAGGCAGAATGGAATATTTTTTCATTCAATTCTTCATATTGTGTATGCAGTGCAGAGTGTCAAGACCAGGAATCAAACCCAGATTTTTGTTTTACAGGCGGTTATTCTAACATTGAGCTACCCGATATCTATCCATGATTCTTTAAATAAATTATGGGTTATTTAAAAAATATACTTTAACTTATCAAAAAGTATAACTTTCGAGTATAACTTTATACTTACAAGATTAAACACACACAGCTTTTCTTATGTTACAGATATAGGTGAATTGGGTGTTTCAAAAAGGAAGAAGAGAAAGGTTTACAATGGCAGCTCTGATAAAGGTTCTTCGAAGGATAAAGATGACAATCGTGACAGTGATGACGATGATAATAACGACAGCGATGACGATAATAACGACAGCGATGACGATGATAATAACGACAGCGATGACGATGATCTTGTTGCGCGTTTTAGGAGAGGAGGAGATTTACCCGATGATTTAGATTTAGGCGATAACTCACAAGATTCTGTGGACGATCTTGAGGAAGATAACGAAGATGATAGAGAATGGAATGCGTTGGGTGCTGCACTTGAAAGAGAGTTCCTTTCTGAGTGACATGTATTTGAATATTAGTATTTGACTATTGGATAATTCACTCTCAGGATGTTTTGCGTTATTCATAAATTTCAAGTTCGATAACCGAAGCAGGGTTATTGAGAATAATAATAAACGTTACATATTTGTGTACTCTGGTAAAATCAGAGTAAGATATTATAGAAATATTAAAGATTTGAAAAGAGTAGATTGAAATAATTAAATTATGGAACGAGAGAACATATAAAGATGAAAAAAAAAGATTCTGTATATCGAACAATGGTTCTATATTGAATTTTCAAATTTTGCACATATATACATATAAGCGCATGATCAGTCGTTAGCCTTACGTGAAAGATAAATATAAGTAATTATTCTTCTTTAAAAGAGTAATTTGTGGATAGTATCATAGCACTGTGATTAACACATGTGCCATTGAACATATTTGCGAGATATTTCTCATGCGAGCGAATCTGTCGAAAACCGATTTTATCTTTATGTATAATACTAGAGAATGAGAAATTTATTTTCTAATATTTTTAGAGCTATCGCATTAACGTTGATGATCACAAGTAAGCTTTTGTATTGAAATCCCAGAATGTATCAGAAAATGTGAGAATAAAACTTTGTAGTACATATAACTTGCAATGTACAGTTTCCATTGAATATTTACAATTTATTAATTATCAAGTTTTTCTGAGTACAAGTACTGTTCTATACCGACGGAACGGTGTCTGGTTGTGGGTCATCAGGATTTTCGTAATACTTTAGATAACTCTTCTTGTGAGTGAAGTCTCGTATACCTTCCAGTCTTCCTCTTCGTGGTGCTTTCGAGTAATCAAAGGTCGAATCTTCTTTGCCATATAACATGTTCTCTTCCTCTATATCCTCCCTAATTTTACAAAAAGATATAAAATGAAGATTTAAATGTATTTAGACGGGTCATAAATGTTCCTAGGGTAGTCATGTGAAATGTTTAACCGTATATTACATACCTATATCTACTTGCAACAACTTCTTTTCCTGTGACTGGATCTACTATATCGCCTAGAGGATATACCACCTCGACAACCTACACAGGTTTTTAGATTTAATAAAAATACAAAGGTTATTTGTCAAGTTTATTATCAAAGTTTATTTGCTAGAATTTAATATTTCTCTCGTAACGCGGCATCGCTATGGCAGTAATCAAATATTACTGCGTAAAACAACCCATACCTCGTGCGTGATCAGGCGCGTTAATTTCTCTGGTAGTGTCTTTATCAAAATCACATCGCCGGTTTTGCACAGCTTCTCCGGATCATGAGCATAAACGAAATTGTTCTCTTTGAAATACTGTTGAGCAAAAGGAGGAAATATAACCTCAATTAGGAATTTATCCAAATAAATATTATTGCACGATATACGACAGATATATGTGTATATATTAACCATGTGAATGTAATTATCGAATTCCAATCGTGGTACTCTCACTTTGGCAGCATTCTGCTTCGACGAAGGCACACATGTGCCCAGAAAATACCGCAACACGGTCTTACTCGCTCTCCTCGCGGCCATCTTCAAACGGAAACTACTAAACTGTTATAAATGTTAACTGCTTATTTATTATCAGTTCAATATTTGAAACACAAATAAAAAATGTAAACATCACTTTTTATTTTAATAATTATTATAATCAAGAGCGTAACTGTACGGTACAGTGAGTACAGACAAAAAGTCAGAAAACAATTTTTAATGTACACAAGCTTTTATAATAAATTTTACAGCTCTTATAATAAGCTTTATTTTTTAGTTTGACAATGTGGACAAAACATGTACTTAAATGTTTGATTATACTATGATCGAGCAATTAGAAGCAAAGCTAACTGACTTACCTATTATATAGCAAGATTCAAACAATATGTCAATATTTTTATTTAGTAAAGGTTTACATGTCTCAGACCCTCCCCAAACAATTAATAATAATTGTGTTTAAACGTTCCATTTTAAGAAATGTTAATAATAAGAGTCACGATTCAATGATCAAATAACGTACACGATTGCAATATGATTTTGTAATTCTAATTACATTAGTAGTTTTCTGATTTTTTAATCACTGTGTGTACATTAGTAGTTTTCTGATTTTTTAATCACTGTGTGTACATTCAAGTCCAACGTGGATAACAGTGGACAGGCAGGATCTACATCCTACGATATACTTTCGGACTTTGGTAATTTGCGAGATTACGTTCTTATGGAGATTACCAGGAATAACATAGATGCATTTTTGACGAGGAATTATATTTCGCATTGTTATACATAACGTAAAGCGGTTTTATGATCTAGACACTAATCTTCTTACGAATGTAATTTACTAATTACTTTATGAACTATTTACTAATTAACGTAATACCACCAGTTAAATTCAGGATTAAAAATTATTTGGATATTTGATTATTTAGTATTCGAATAAAAATCGAATATATTTATAATTCTAGTCTGTACATAATCTATTTTAAATATATATTTTATGTAGAATAAATTATTATAGGATTTGTAGAAATAATCTTTAAATATAATACACATATAATAATATAATAATATATATCTATAATTCTTACACACAAAATTGTTATTGAAACATGCTTTAGACATTTTGTGTTTATATTTGTGCAACGCTGATATATGGAAATAAATCACGAAATAAAAAATAGACACATATTAATTAATAACATAATAGATATTTAAGAAGACGGTTTTTATATTTTTTAAAATCACAATCAATCAAAGAAATATCAATTTATTATACTTGATTTATATATACCTGATCTCTCATATCTATCACCCTGATTCTTTGTTGTAAACGGTGAAGAATTAACCATTCTTAAAGCAACTAATATGTTATGAATTATTAAAAGACAATGTGGATCTATTTTTTTATTTGCATTTTTTTGCACTTTTATTTACATTTCATGATTTTGAGAAATTTGCGTATTACAAACATTAGTGCGAAATTCTCTGTTATATTTGATCTACATATTAAATTTACTAACGCCTACTAATCACAAAATTTATAAAATTAATTTTCATTAATACATTAAAGTACATTCTGTATATATCATTAGTAAACTAGTAAAACTGTATTAACGGCGATTAATAAATTATGTAACAACATAATTTGTAGAATATGTAAATAATAAAATTGTGTATTGTAGTGATCATGATTAAAGTTGCTGCAAGTATCATTAAATGTTTTGTTACTGCAGATTATTTTTTTTCGAAGAATCTCTTTTCGAGAAATTTACAAAAATGTTAAATGACGTGATTGTGTGTGGTAAGATTTGCAATTTAGATTATAAAAACTTAATGATTGATTGTACAAGCGCCTCTTCTAAATTATTTTATATTAAAAATACATGTCATTTTTCAATTGATTATTTATAAATATATTTTACGAAATTTTAAAAAAGTTAAATGTCTCCTCTTTCTCTCTCTCTCTTTCTCCTACAAAATATAATTGTATTTTACGAAAACTTAGGAATTACCTAATGGATTATTATTTAAAAATTTTTTATTTCTTGATAATATTAGTAATTATTGGAAGTAGTCCAACAATAATTTCTAATTGTTTATAGATCAAAGATATAACCAGATAAAACTGAGTACCGAATGCGGAATAGAAAGGAATTTACTTTAACATACCTTATATCTTCCAAAAAAATATTGATTAGGAAATGGTTTTGATTAAATAGTTGTTTTTTGATTATTTAAATTTTCTATTTATAGATATAAATAAGAGAATTAAAAAATTTTTTGGAATAAAAAGTTTAAAAATGTTCAAATTTCAATCACGATATCGATATTAAAGTTATAATTCTACATATAATACAATATTTAAAGAATAAGTTTCTGTACCATATATAATTCGCTAATTTTTATTATTTTTTCTTTTCTTTGCTTTAATATCACAATTCGGCGCATTCTGTCACGTGCCTTCTTGGCCGAATTTCACGCGTCTTTGACGTCAAAAGAATTTCTCGATGTTACTTGACTCTCCACTCGCGTGATCGCGTGAGGTCCACTGTTACCATGCGAGTGAGCACATTCTTGACTGAAAGGCGTTCCACGGTGGTCATTGCGGATTGGTCGAACGCGGCGAGCCCCTGCTTGACCGAAATGACCTTCACGTTCTGGCTGGTCCCATTGGCGCCATTTACGAGCCTTACGCAAATTAATTTGCGCGCAAGCAGCTTTATTTAATCGCTACTCTAAGCACCAATCAGAAGTGATTTTTTTTTTCGTAACCATATGTGATCATGTGTACATCTTCGCTTCTGAATTTAATGCGTAGTATAAATAAAAATAGACACGGAGAATGTCCTGGCTATGACGAAAGCTGATGATAAAATCGACCTGGTTCTAGACGCACGTAAAAAATTCTCGTCGTAACTGACAAAATATCCAAAGTGTTCGTTCGTTCGTTCGAAATGTTCGTTTCTGTTAGTATATTGTTAAATAATGCATAAAAGATAAATATTAAACATCACTTGCGTAATATTCAAGGTCATCGCTTAGTGAAGCTAAATACTTAAGCGAGACGGAATTTTTTTCACGTAACAATATTGCTTTATTTAACAAAATTTCTGTCTCCTTATAAATATATAATAAAACATAAAGTAATAATGAAATATATAAAAAATAAAAATAGTATGATAATCGTATAATTACATAAATATACATAATAAAAAGAAAAAAATGAAAGAAAGAAATTACTACATTAGATACTTGCGAAGAAAACATGCAATAAATTTATGTATTGTAAGTTCAAGCTTAAAATTGTTTCTCTACTACTTTAGAGTAGCAAGGACAAATACATTATGTTTATTTATTTCTATTCTTATTTCATTTTATCAGCAGTTAAACATAATGAGCGATTCACTAAGAAACTTTAGCAATATCGTTCGCAGTAGATAATTACAGTATTGGATAAAATATCCACCAGTAAATAAAAATACTACAAAATTCTACTTTATACGCTCTACGTTAAACATAGCGATTATAAAATTATAACAAATTGCAAAAACTAATAAATCGAAAGCGAAGAAGAAATATCGCGCTCGAATAATCTCATCGTCCTATCGTCATGTGCAATTTTCAACCTTGCCTGCGAAAGTATCGTTATTATAATCCGGCTTTAAATCTATATATATAAAATTACTCCGGATTGGATTATCAGCTTAGCCACGCCAATGTAGTTCGTTGGTAACAGAGGACGGTGGTCGATTATCAGCGACGTAATGCAGTGATGTACATTACGATCACCGATAATCGTGATCGTAGATACACCGTGGAAGGCAATGGTGGGGCCGTTACGGGAGATCCGTGGGATTATCTGACATTTTTTTTGCGAGGAGCGAAAGGGTCTTTATCAAGATGTAAAGCGGGCCTACCGGAGATATCTGTATGTGATCGGTATCACGTAGACGAAAATGATGGCGTGAATCGATGCACGTTGCTCGGGAAATTTCATCATGCGTGTACGCGTCGCGCCGAGCCGCGCCGCCCTTTCGTTGGAAGTGCTTCTCGCAAAATGAATCATTGTCCAGATATTTTTGCGTAGTGACTAAATCACGCCTGATATAATCTCTGCATGCCAAGTTCGGAACGTAATTGCGTCTGTATCTTCCTACGAGTACCTCAAATCCTTTTTGATAATAGAGGAGATTCGCGCAATTTGGACTTTTCAAAGTTTTCGTCTATGTATCTGTTATTCTTTTTTTCTTTCTTTTTCTTCTTCAAGGTAGATCTTGAACGGACTCATATGTTCAGCAGGTAGCCCGTCACGATTATTTTTGGCGAACATTATCTGTGGCGTGTCCTTCTTACGCGGTGATATAAAAAAAAAAAAAATTCATAATGACAGTACGTGGTTTGTGACGCAACATTGACGGGTTATTAACAGGACACAGAAGCGGAGCGGGACGACCAATAAGAACCTCGCTTCCGTGGAGGCTCGACCGGGGCTCGGCTTCGTCACGTGCGTAATATCTTGAGAAACGCCTGACCAGCCGTCTTCAAGGAGAACCAATGGGAAAGGAAAGTTGTGTGGTGTGGCCGTTAGTTGATAAGATTAGCCGTTTATCTCGCCTCATCAAATGTTACGTTATATTGCAGATGACGAAATTACAACCGCCTCTTATAAATTCGTGACGAAGCAAGTTTACCCGATCGAATCATATATTTTACATTTTTTTTTGTTAATAATGTAACGAGATGTACATACACAGAAAAAAAAGAATATTCTTGATTTGAAAATATATATCTTTAGGTTCAACGTAGAAATCTTGAAATGAGATTATATCGCGTTAAACGAAGAAAACTTGCTTGAATAAAGTCACTTTATACAGTCATCCAATAAAAAAAGTTAAAATATAAAGTTGAAATTCTTATAAGAAGATTATAAATTGTTGCATATATATGAAACAATGAATAGTTAATTTGAGTATATAAGTTTTAATTTAACACTTCTATTTTTCTGTGTATATCTAATATACATATATTGCTAATGGCACCATTGCACCGTTTGATTTTCCCTGAAACATCCCTTTTCTTCTATTAAGATCTAAATGTTTCCACTTATTTCAAGTTTCAAATAAATACATATCTATATTGATAATGTGTATTAATCTGTATTAACGTAATAGGTACATATTTAATATTAATTATTTAGTAGAATTAGTCCGTTAG